AAACATTCAAATTTAACATACAACAACCACTGACGAAATTCCTGAGCCTTTGCATGTTTTTGAAGTGTTATTGAGTTAAGATATTGTGTTGAAAAATTATAATATCTGTCAATTGTCATTTATAAACCTTTTATGTTTCGTCTAATGTATCCCAGTAAGTTATCATGTATGTAGGACATATACGTACCTGTACGACTGAATTTATCTAACGGATTACGATGGTGGACGGACAGATGGCTGTTTAATGTATAGTGGCAAATTAAATGCATATTCAGAACGAGAACTTGTTAATGTGATATAAAGACCCTTCTTTGTAGTAGAATTACACACTGAGTCAGATTTTCACCGTACTTGGTTACAAGGTCACAGTTCGCAGGAAGCCATGTCCTCATATCCAGACACATAATTCTGACTCCGAGACGACCAGTCTGTTCTTACTCCCAAATTCCGCATGCTTATCAGAGAACTAGCAACTTTTGGTCTTTTGTTTGACTCGCAAAATGTTATGATGAGATGCCTGTTTAGCTTTAGATCCACGGATTTTTTGATTTTTTGAATTCGCAGTCGCATCTGGTCGTGGTGAAGATTTTACATCGAAATCCGTGCTTTGGGAGATTTAATGTGATCTTAATCTTATTTATACGATTCTAACAATATCATTAGTAAATAAACTCTTTACTAAAATAATAGGCGAGTGACAATTTTCAAAAAGACGCTTAGTTAACGACTTTAATGCACCCACCTAACATAGGCTATATCATACATCATTCGAAAGCTTATTATCTGTACTTTCATTTTTTCCCGGTCGTCAATAATTCGTACGGTGCAATTTTCGTTAAATCAAGGTCAAAGGTCCAAACTGAGCATTCCAAATGTTTGCTATAATTACACAAAATGCCATTTTCAGGTAATTCTATGGCATTTTATTCCCTAAAATTGATCTAATCCTTATAAAACAAATTACCATGATTTCAAATCAAGTGCAAACTTAAATGTTGATTGCGCTATAGTAACAAAAAATTGCATTTCTTGAAAAAACTTCCAAAAATTATAAAATTGCAATAAAATCTAAATGTTTTCTGAAATTTGAATATGTGTATGTCAAAAATAGAATAGATTTATTGTTTATGGACCGAGGGAATTTTTTTTATCATTTTAAACTGCAATTAATATGATGTAGGTCCAGATGCAGCCTTCTAATGAAGCTTTTGTAGTTGCCCCAAAAAACACCATCTGCAAATGGGGATCATTTATTTTAGCTTTTTTTGCTAGATAATATTGCTAATATCGGCAGGTAATGATCAACCATATTTAAAAAAGGTTATGGAAGAACTTTAAGGAACAAAAGAAGTATATTTGGTAAAAATTAGTTTCCCGATGTGGAAAGACATGTTACGAAGATTATGCTCGTTCAATGTTCGAAAGAAAACTGTCTGTACCATGCGATTTTCAATGTCAAATCCGGCGAATTCCTTTTAATGTTAACCCATTATAATATACTTTGTTAGTTGTTTTATTAAATATGACTGAAAATTAATAATTCAGATTAATTAAGATTGAATAACCTTCATGAACAACTGTAATCACCATACTGGTTTATGTATTGTTCACACAATTCGGTATAGTGTTTTAAGAAGATTTGTTTGTCTGTCTACTTTTTCGCCATGGTCACGTTGTCGTCTGTTTTTCTTCGACCATGGTTTGAGACTGCCTCCATATTATTGTATCCCTTCTTTCAATCAAAGAAAAGAAAACCATAAATTTCAAAGCTGAGCGAAAAAAGACAACAGAATTTAAAACTCAGATATTGATGCAAAAAATTAGTTAGTAAAACAACATAAATTACCGAACTCCAAGTGAAATTTCAAAACAGAAAGTCTCTTATCACATATCAAAACCAAAAGCTGAAACACATCAAACGATTGGAAAACAGTTGTGATAGTTCTCTCTCCATCTCTATCTATCTTTATATGATATAGCGGAAATGTAGGAATCATCTTGTCCTTACGTCCTTTTTTCTTTTGTTCTTTCCATTCACATATCCATATGTTATTCTCAAAGATGTAATGAGCAATATTCCTTCGACATTGCTTGGCAGAATTATGGAAGTTCAAAGTGCACATATGGAGGTTATACGTGAAGGGATTTGTTTCATTATAGACATATTCAAATAGCGCTAAAAACAGTAATCGCTTTAAATTTACCAGAACATACCTGCTTTCAAGCTATCTCATTAAGTTAACCCTAATCTTATTAAAATTTAGTTCTTTAATTTCGTTATTATCATGCGATATATGAGCAGGCGAGTCGTTTTTTATCTAAATTTTAGTCAGATTGTTTTAACCCATGTTTTTAATACTTATACATAACATTTTGTACGGTTTTTTTTTTTCATGTCAACTTATATCACTTATTATTGTTGTGAGATCTTCGCACCATTAGAAACTTGAACCGATAAATATGAAAATAAAGTGAGAAAATCGCAAAAAGTCGCTGTCAGATCAATAACAGAGGGCTCAGTGCACAATAAATATCCACGAACATAATTTAAGATCAGATTACATAAACCGATTAAAAAATCTGGATAAATTCAACCACAATTTTTTCATTTCTCACAATTGTATAGATATTTTAGAATAAAATAACTTCATTTTAATCATATGTATTCTTAATATACACGTACTATCTTTAATATGCCAATGATCAACCAATGCTTAATAGATGATCTACTAAAATAGTAGATCGTGCTCTTTTTTTTTTAAATGCCTAAAATGAAAATATTATGTGGCAAACCTACATTGAAATTTTAATGCAAAATCATGGCCAATTAAATTTGAAATAAAAGTGGTTCAAATGCATTTATATTTTTGTTTCTATTTGGAAACTTTATTTGTAACATTTAGCTGAAGTAAACATCAACATTAACACTGCTGCGTTTGGTTAGAGGTTGCCTACTTTTACAAAAGGTGATCAATGCTGATTGGTGTATTTTTGTTGTGACACCTACACAGTAACTATGTCCTTGATACTGTTGTTGATGGGGATTGCCAGTTTTCCTTTCGAAGGTCGGTGGTTCCTTGGGCATTCCATGGGCCTAAACCATTTAAAACTGATCGCCGCAAAATACTTTAGAAGCCAAAAGTTCTAAACCGAAAACTGCGTTTAACACCAACAATCAATCAATCATCTTTATATTAAAATGTATTTATATGTAATCTATTCAGGGAGTAAATTTGATAAATGGAAATGTATGTATTGTTATTGCGAATTGCTAGATTTCCCAATTCAAAAATTAATGTAAGTAAATATAATTGCGAGGGTCCCAATCTATTTACAAGAAATTACGTAGTTGGATAGGATTAAATATATTGGCCAGGCATGAAGAACATTTCAGTGGCTAGCTTATAATAGTTTTCACTTCCTCATTCAATGCAAGATGCAGTATAAGCAACTAAGAAAACATACAAATATTGAAATATTGAATTATCAAAGTTTCGCTCCCAAACTTTTCCCTTAATGCACGAACTTTCTGTGTATTCTATCTTTTAACATTTTTGCACTTTTAAAATTTGTGTTTTTCAACATAATATCGACTACATACAAATTGTTTTAACAAAGAACAGCTAAAAAAGCTATTTTCTTGCAGATGGCGATATTTTGGGCAACTGCATGGTTGTTATAATTGGCTGTTTAATTAACAAGAAGCGTAATTGCAGTAATTTAATGATGTCAAAAACATCCTTAGCACTAAATAAAATATGTTATTTAGTTTTATGGTAAATAACAGTTGAATCACAGACATAAAATTTGATTTTCATGCATTTTTGTCATTTTCAATGGAATTTCTAGAAAACAGCGCTATATATTAAAAATCCGACATTAATATTTCAAAGTGCTTTTGATAAGTTACTATTAACATCTGTTCTAACAGATTTCCATATGTCCATACAAAATATCATTATTCAGAAGACAGAATATGCAAAACTTGCTGACTTCTTGTAAAATTAGAAGTTGTACGTCCTTGACCTTTCGTTGTGATTTGACAGAAACTGCACCATACGAATTTTTGACGACCGGGCAAAATAGGTAGTGCAGATGATGTGCTTTCGAATGGTATATGATTTAGCCGTATATTAGGTGGGTGCATTAAAAATAAAATTTTATGGTTAATGTCACTCGTCTATATATCAGGATTACAATTGTGTACGCCAGACGCGCGTTTCGTCTACAAAATACTCATCAGTGACGCTCGATAAAAAAGTTAAAAAGGCCAAATACAGTACGAAGTAATTTAGAGCTGTCTATTCTTTTGTGGAAAATAAGAATAGAGGAACAGCACGTATAAACTACTGTTATTGTAAGATCGTATGAATAGAAACACGAATACATCAATTAAGGGAAAACAAGAAGAATTAAAAAAAAATCCAAACATCGTTGGAAAAAAAAAGAAAAACATGTGCATGCCCCAAACGCCTGTGGTTTCACTTGCGGACGAAAAATTCGACAGGATGTAGGCACTTTAAATTGAATCTAGGGATTGCAAGATAACATATACACCAATATTCAGACAATATGTCATATATAAAGAATTTCAGTTAGTAATTTGTGCCAAGTTTAGTTAGAGTTCTTGCGAGTGTTTTAAAAATCAATATATTATGGTATAAATAATCATATGGTCCGGTGTATTAGTAATCAAACCTGTATATATTCATATTGTCCGCCTATGGTCTACCTAGTATGATCGGATCATTATGATTATACGCATATGGTCACATATGAGTATACGCATATGGTCATGGCCATACGTGTATGGTCTAAATACTCATATGGTCCGGAACATTGCCATCTAAGTGTCTTTTATTATTTTTGTCATTGTCTTGCCGTCTCGTTGACGTTTACTCCACAAAACCTTTAATTCATAACTGTAGCAAAATACAAATTTTTTGATTTTGATTATAACATAAATAATTTTCTGAGCATTTTAACACTATCTCAAGACATGTAACTTAAGGATTTTACTTAAGATTAATATCAGGATGTACCGTAACATGGAACTTTTTTCAAAACAACGAAAACCTGCTGGGCTCAGTTTTTTTCAATTGTTTGATTTTTCTAATGATGTAACATAACACTTTAAATAAATGTAATCCAAACAAAGAGGAATTATTCACACACAAAAATGTCATCTTAACATCTCGTCATCTCAGCTGTCATCTGTATACCATTCTCAAGTTCCATAGTCTATAAGAAATAAACACTTGAATATAAAAATCAATTACGTGTATTTGTCAATGAATACCAAAAAATCATCATTCCCCTTAAGGATAATGACTACTTTCTTTATATATTCAAGAAATGATACTGGCACATTTTTAGTATAACGTTTTTGAGTTCACTAACATTTTCCAAGATTAAAGAGTTAAAAATAAGAAAAAGGCAGATCCCTTATTCTAATCAGATCTATGAATAGAATAATGGTTCACTCTTAATTCAATTCATTTTAAGAAAACTGTTTTAAAGATTATTTTGCACATACATCAAGCCGTTAGTTTTCTCGTTTGAATTTTTTACATTTGTCATATTGGTGTCTTTAATAGCTTTCTATGCCGTATGGATTTTGCTCATCATTGAAGGCCATATTATGACCTAATACTTGTTAACTTCTACATTTGGTCTCTGGCGGAGAGTTGTCTCATAGGCAATCATACCATATCGTCATATTTACCTGGTTATATATAAAATACTTAATAAAACAGAGTGCAACACACCTTTAAGTGACAGAAATATTAACCTTGAATACACTGTATAATAAAAAATAATACTTACAGTAATCAGTTTATCTCCCTTTATTTCCCTCATAACTTTGACTGTTTTCCATCCCATCAGTTCACTTTGTTCTTTCATTGTCATTTTACTGTCCGAATCAATGGTTATTGTAAACTAAACAATATAAACAATATAAACATTTTAAAAATTTTAGTTCTCAGTTTGTAAGGTTTATATGATCACTATTAAACAACGTAACAGTTTGTTGGATGCTGACAAGTAGCTTTTGGTTTTGCTTCTCGTACAATTTACATATGCATGGATTTTGTTAACATATTTAAAGGTTAAAGTTTTGATAGATTTTGCATGCGTCATGTGGATTTTTTAGAATTAAAAATAATACAAATATAATTTATTTAGCTATTTCATAAAATTTTGCTTATACTTAATTAAAAGAATCTTAAAATACATATAGATTTGTATAGAGTGTAGGTAAACTTTGTTTTTCATCTTTAAATCGTTCGGAGTCTATAAAAGTCGGAAATGCATTTAAAAGAAACATTCAGATATCTGCCATCAACACCCAATTCTCCAAATAATAAAAACTAAATTAAATACGACATCTACTGACACGGTTGCTGACTCGAGACATGCACACTGACAAGGTTACTGATTTGGGACATGCACATTGACAATCGAGACATGAACATTGACAAGGTTACTGATTTGGGACATGCACATTGACAAGGTTGCTAACTTGGGACATGCACATTGACAAGGTTGCTAACTTGGGACATGCACATTGACAAGGTTGCTAACTTGGGACATGCACATTGACAAGGTTACTGATTTGGGACATGCATATTGACGAGGTTACTGATTTGGGACATGCACATTGACAAGGTTGCTAACTTGAGACATGCACATTGATAAGGTTGCTGACTTGGGACATGCACATTGACAAGGTTACTGATTTGGGACAAGCACATTGACAAGGTTGCTGATTTGGGACATGCACATTGACAAGGTTGTTGACTTGGGACATGCACATGAAAAAAGTGGCAGAGTATATCAAGGTTAATTATTCAATGACAAAGCGTGTACTGTACAAACACACGCTAACACCCGTTTCCTTAAGATTATTTTTACTCAATGTAGAATATGTTTGACCATACAGGTAGTGCATTTCATAAAACAACATATAGGGGAACAAACACTAGAGTGTTGGACTACTGATACACAACCTTTTAATATAGACCGTTATTCAATTTTAAAACTTCTAATATCTTTGATATAGAAGGGGATACTACACATCTTTGGAATATTTTTTTTTTTCACAGGTATACAATAGACAAGTCGCATTTAATAGGTATTTTGAATAACAAGAATATATTGTTCCAATTTATGCAACAGGTTTTAAAAATAAAACATTACCCACAATCTCACGACGACGATACATCCATATCATGAATTTATGAGTATAATTTACCTTAAGGCCTTTCCCAAAAGGTCCTGTAGTAGTTACTTCTTCACCAGACTTAAATTTATAACATTTGCTTGGTGTTACATCACTAGATGCATCACACATCCAATACTCTCCATCTTGTTTAAACTCCAGTGTACTCTTTGCATTTCTGAATTTCTCAATCAGGTCTTCAGAGACACCTACAATGATGATGTAAAATGGTTATAATGTCATAGAATCACTTTATACCTTATATAATATTTTTGTGATATAATTTAGTTTTCAGCACAAAATAAGTTTAATTCATTTTCTTTATTTAAAGTCTATTTCGAAGCTGAAATTGTGGTTATTAGTATTTTTGATTTATATTCGTTCATTATTGTTGAAGAAAATCATTTTAATATTCCCGATCAATTTAAAATAAGAAGTACATTTTAAGCAGATATTTATTTGTCTTTTAGTGTTTCTTTCATTATTTATTCAAATGAATCGTGAAAACTTCATAAAATTTCGTTTAACTTTTATTCAGTAAAGTTGGATTTAAATATATATGAGTTCTGCACGTAAAGAATTTCAGATCAAATTGATGTTTCTCTAAAAGTGTAAATAGATGTAAATATGTGTTTTAAAAAAGGTTCGTTTATTCTTCACAAATTTTCTGTACTCAAGGGTATTTTTAAACGCGTAATAGAATTTTGTTTTACGCTCGCATGTGGAAATGATAATTTAACTTATCGCTTGTTCATACTTAATAAGAATTAAGGTCAGTTCCGCAAGGGTAAGATGTAAATTATTTTAAGAAACGCTTTATGTGTAATTTCCATATGTGCAGGTTAATTTAAGAAGTACTTATTTATCGTAGACTAGTCTTGTCGTTTAGCCCTATATCATCATAACGAGTCATGAATTTTTGATAAAAGCAAGCATGTGGTATGATTGCCACTGAGACAACTCTCCACATTGATTATTTTTGGGTTAATAGGTTTTATATAGTTTTAAGTTTTTACAAGCGCAACATTTGCTCTACCATGTTTCATGTTTATCATTCAAAAGATAAAAGAATTCAACATGTTTATACATGTTCATTGTTCTGATATAATGTATTCAATACTTTATGCTGTTCAGCACATGCTTTATGCTCTCATAGGTTCAAATACTAGGTCACGCATTAAGGTCAAACGTTTAAGGTTTAGTCCGCATCTTGCTCATATATTTGAATGCTAATTAAGCTTTTATTTATTAGAAATATCATAAGCATACGTGTTCGTCATTTAATATGCATATGTTCATGCATTTACGTAAAGTTTGTTTAGTTCAATACTCAAAATATTAATTGATCATTTATGCTGGAAAATTATATGAATTATATGTTTCGTATTAGCGCCACACGTGTTTTTTTTTTTTATATTTCTTCCTATGTTTGCGTTTAACGCAAACCTTTTGCGTTATAACGCAAACCTTTGCGAAATAACGCAAACCTTTGCGATATAACGCAAACCTTTGCGAAATAACGCAAACATTTGTTTTATTTTATTTCTTATTTAAGTTTCAAAGGAAGCAGTAAATGGAGGAGGCTGCATATATTAAAATTTATCACCCTTTGTACTCATTGCAATGTAAAATGCTTGAGTGTTTAGCACACATCATGGGATAATGATGAGCCGGATAATACATGTATATATATTACAAAGAAAATTGAGTAAATTGAAGTTATACCGAAGAAAAGGTTGGTTAGATTCAAACAAGCTACCCTTTTTCCATAAATGTTTAAGATGAAGAGGTTATTTTATTATAATTATGTTCTCTACATTCAAATTGCTACCCAAGCATCTTAATAAGCTACCTCACTAGATTGAAATTAAAATTCAATGACTTTTTTTAAAGAATCTTTATCATATTCTGAGATTTCAACAAACGATTTCTTACATCAAAATTTAAAAAGAATGTTTTTTTCTGAATAATAAATTTTAAAGCAGAAAGATCATTTTGTCTATTTGACTTATAGTTTCACAATTGTATGACATTATGTTTGCTCTTATCTAGTTTACCACTTTCCGTTATTCAAAATTTTCAAAATCTTGGCCTTTCAATTAAAATTTGCCTATACAATATCTATTTACTTGTTAAATTTATATAATCTTCTGATGCATAAACCATTTATTAATTTGTGTATAATTGCACTTCAAGTATTCCTTTATTTCTATGCATATTTATTATAATGATTTGGCCTTGTGTTCATGGTTCTTCTCTTAACTAAATCACAACCTAAATTTGATGATAGACGGATATGCAAATGCCGACATTTACAAAACACTGCTTTCAAATTATATAATAAACATAAAATGTAAATTTAATATTATATATAGTTTTTTATTATTAAATATTCAAAACTTAATGAATAATTAAAATCAGAATGTTTGCGTTATTTCGCAAAGGTTTGCGTTATAACGCAAAAGGTTTGCGTTACAACGCAAATGTTTGCGTTATAACCCAAACATAGGAAGAAATATAAATAAAAAAAAACGTGTGGCGCTAATACGCTTCCGTTTGTTTCTATTATTTCCCTTATATACTTTTATATTGTTATTAATTGTATATGACTTTCATAATTATGCGCTTTTGAAGAAAGAAGATCGTAAAAACCATTTCACTGTGTTTGTTATAACTGTTTCAGGCCCTTGCTCATCCCCCTTTGTCCGCAAGGTGGGCTTTAAATTTGGTTAAGTCCAATCATAGCAGTCAAACGACAGTTCATCTAACACTGCAAATCAACTCTGATAATAAGCCGACAATAAACTCATTCCGGATCTACCGTGTCATTAAATAAATGTAAGCTGGAAAATATAAAGTTTTTCTGCGTCATTAGTATAAGTCTGAAAAGCACCTGTAACAGTTGTAACAATATTGTGAAAAGCAAAAAAAAAAAAGTGATTTCCGCTTCGATTCTTTAATAAAAATATTACTACTCTATCTAAACCGCAAACATCTTGAATAATCAATTTTTGTGATGCCGACAGCCTAAAGTTTGAAAATGTAAGCTATCCAGTCCTATTGATATACATATAAAGATATGTGGTATGATTGCAAACTATTTACTAAATACCTAATGACCAGGATATAAACAAATACAGATCACAGTAAGACCTTCAAAAATGCGCAAAACACATACCGTCTGGAAAACTCGAAAATAAATTGTTCAATAAAACATAAGACTGTTTCATAATCCTTTTACATGTTTTAATATGAAACTCGTGATCATGATGTAGAACTTTTACTTCCAGAGCAATGATCAATTATACATTTCGGATCTGCTTACCCTTCCGGAGCACCTCAGATCATCCCCGGTTTTTGGTGGGTTCGTGTTGCTTAGTCTTTAGTTTTCTATGTTGTGTTTTGTATGCTGTTTTTCATTTTTGCCATTACATTGTCGTTCTTTTTTCGACTTATGATTTTGATTATCCCTTGGTATCTTTCGCCTCTATTTTGAAAAAATATATATATATAAATAACACATACTTACAGTAGGATAGAGAATGAAAACGGGGAATGTGTCAAAGAGACAACAACCCGACCAAAGGCCAAAAAAAATAGCCCAAAGCCACCAATGGGTCTTCAACGCAGCGAGAAAATCCAGCACCCGGAGGCGGGCTTCAGATGCCCCCTTAACAATAATGAATACTTGTTCAGCGAAATGGACGCCACGCTAAACAGACATGTTTTTCATTTAAAATTGCGATTAGTCCAGAAACATGAGGTCAAAATGTTAATCATTTGAAATTTCTTGTTCACCAGATTCATTTTTCTACAAGAAATCAGTTAACTTTGGTATGTACGGTAAAAAGGTCACGATGACAAAATAAAAGGATCGCCGTGAATACTAATATACTATGCAAGCAGTACAAATAATTTTGTATATGCTAAAATAAGAAGATATGGTATGATTGCCAATGAGACAACTCTCCAACAGAGACCAAATGACGTAGAAGTTAACAACTATAGGTTACCGTGTGGCCTTCAACAATGAGCAAAACCCATACCGCATAGTACTATAAACGGACCCATGAAAGTTTCATCCTACCATTCGTTGCCTGACGATGGACACACTTGTCATTAGCGTGGCATTCCGACACTGGACATATATGTCCTTAGCGCGGACAAACAAAGGGGTTAATTAAACAATGCTTTGGTTTTTTTTAAATCTTGATGTATACATGGGATCAACGAAAAAAAAGAGCGCCCGGTTGTACGCTGTTAATTTCAAATGACGTTATACATTCCGATTCAAATTAAAACAGTCAACAATGTTTTGTGGAATTTTGATTTGAGATACGTAAAGCATTAAAATGCAATTATCTCCATTCAATCAAGACGTTGAAACATTTCTCTGATTGCAATTTTTCGTTATATTTATAACTGTTTGGCTGTTTGGTTCGTTAACTTTTCTTACCAGCCAAAATATAACAGAAAGGTTCACATTATAATCCGCGGCTGATATTTGATGACATATTTGATGACATATTTGATGACATATTTGATGACATATTTGATGACATATTTGATGACATATTTGATGACAGCAATGTGCTATTATATATACGTTTTTAATCTCAATTAAAGACTTTAATTGTATAATATCCAGTGTCCATTTGAAAAGTTTGAAATAAAATGTCGAAGATGGATTGATAATTCCGTATTCAACAATCATGCGGAAGACACTACTATTCAATAAAAAAACCTTATAATATAAAGATAAAGAGATGTGGTATGAATACCAATGAGACAACTATCCATCAAAGTCAAAATGATGTGGATGTTAGCAACTATAGGTTAATGTACGGCCTTCAACAATGAGCATAACCCATACTGTATAGTTGTCTATAAAAGGCCACGATATGACACAATGTGATACAATTCAAACGAGAAAACCAACGGCCTGATTTATGAAACACAACAAAACGAAACATTAATGACAGAAAATAATCAACAACAACCATTCAATTACATGCTCCTGACTTATGATAGATATAAGAAGATGTGGTATGAGTGCCAATGAGACAACTCTCCATCCAAGTCAAAATTTATAAAAGTAAACCATTATAGGTCAAAGTACGGTCTTCAACACGGAGACTTGGACAGGCCCATAAATAGTACTTGTATAAGCCTATAAATTATACAATTGAATATAAATTGTTCTATATGCAAAGTCTACCAAATATATAAAACTAAATGACAGTCTTACCTGATGCTTTGGCAAATTCCTCATAATTTGTGTACGAATCTCCGTCTCCGGTCCATTTTCCTATGAACTGAGTCATAATTCGATCAAACGAAAAGGTAGGAGATTGCGATTTATAAATTAATGATATTAAAACCAGTATTCTCTTTGTTATATGCACTGCAACCAATATGCTTGAAGCGAATAGAAATGTAACTCATTATTGAATGTAAATATTTATATAGCTGATTGGATGTTATAATATTCCATAGTTATTGATCTTGTCTGCTACTTATATTATTTTCTTCCTTTTCTCTGTTATTAATTAACTTCTTTTTCTTTCAAAAGGTTGAATATTACATTTTAATTAAACAAACACATTATTATTGTCTTGTTACTTTCTTGAAGTTAATATTTTAATAGTGGTTTTTGCCTTAAGTATCTTAAAGTTTGATTTACGTGATTATCCCTTTGAAGAAGGTAAAAATGTTATAAGTATCTCTCTCTCTCTCTCTCTCTCTCTCTCTCTCTCTCTCTCTCTCGTTCTGTTCATATCCTCCTACTTACTTTCTTGTTGTAGATTTTTAGCTTAACTTCATGTTAAAACTGTGCATGGTAACAAAAGTTTTTTATTATTATTTATTGTTTCCAAGTTAGACGTTTCAAACAAAGTAAAAACCGTCCCACGTTTAAACATCACAATTTACATACTTAATGAACGAATGAGATACCGACTTAATGTTGAATAAATGCAGGTCAAAAACAAGGTTGAATAACGGAGTTATATTTGCAGCACCTTACGGAAGCGTATTAGGGCCATCCTTTTTCACTTTTTTTTTCAAATTGTCGACTTTAATCTTGGAATTATCAACTTTAATCTTGGAATTTCCAACTTTAATCTTGGGATTATAAACTTTAATCTTGGAAAATTCCAACTTTAATCTTGGAAATTCCAACTTTAATCTTGGAATTATCAACTTTAATCTTGGAAATTCCAACTTTAATCTTGGAATTATCAACTTTAATCTTGGAAATGACTGATATTTTACTTCTAGCCAATAGTTTATTGTGTTTCTAAATATATACTTAATCTACTTATAATTATTTTCGCGGCTAAAATTTTTTGTAAAATGTAAAAGAAAAAAAAGACGTGTATCTAAAGTCTTGTATAGCTCAACGTAGCCTAATATCCATGAAACTTCTTATTAATGTGTATACGTGGTATGCCAAAAATATGGGTCATGTTTTTGCGAGATTTTATATTACGTCACTTTTTAATGACATTCTATATTGATATGCATTGTTTTTTCATAACTTTATATAGATTTGGGGTATGTTCTACATATCTTATATAAATATGTTATTGGAAATCTTATTTATGGCTAATTGTGTTATTTGAATCAATCAGGGACTTTACATAAATATAAAGTCCCCGAATCTATGCATTTAAAAAATAAAATATTGTATATAAGTAAAGGTCATTCTTTGTATATTTATGTATAAATGTATGTACCAAATATAAGTGAATGTTATATAAAAATGGATACATTTTTTTAAGTCAAAATAAGCACACCCTTACCAAAAAAAATCGAAGTTACCCTCTCCCCCACCCCCTTTTCCCTGTGTTAATGTCAAAATTTAAATATCCATTTGTAATTATGTATGCAGTACATGCAGTTATTATATCATATTGATGAATAGGCGGATGTGCATCGATATTTACAATCGCAATCACCAACAAAAAGTAAAGTAAAGCACATCAAACTGAAGTGCACTGTTTGGCCGAGGCGAGAGTCCAGCGAGCCAGAAGTCACGATGTTCTCAATTCAGAGTGTCACTAGGTTAATGAAAGTCAAAACAAATCAGTGTCGCACTAATGAGGGTCGGAAGATTAAAGTTGGAATTTTCAAGTTTAATGTTGATAATTCCAAGATCAATGTTGATAATTCCAAGATTAAAGTTGGATTTTCCAAAATTAAAGTTGGAAATTCCAAAATTAAAGTTGGAATTTCCAAGATTAAAATTGATAATTTCAAGATTAAAGTTGATAATTCCAAGATTAAAGTTGATAATTCCAAGATTAAAGTTGATAATTCCAGATTAATGTTGATAAATCCAAGATTAAAGTTGATAATTCCAAGATTAAAGTTGATAATTCCAATATTAAAGTCGACAATTTGAAAAAAAAAAGGATGGCCCTAATACGCTTCCGTAATACCTAATGTGTTAGGGATTATCATATAATCTTGAGTTATAAATGGTTTATTTAGTTCTTATGGTGGGTTAGTGGGTAAAAAACAATATGTTTTGTTTTTTCTAATGTCTCTACACGAAATTTTTATTCAGCAAAAACTAATTTGAAACTCTTAGTGAAGAATGAGTGGCATTTGCCAATTTACTAACATTGGAAAAAAACACTGACATTTTCGAATATTTTATATTTGATGAAATACGTTTCCTCTTTCTACCACATAATTTCTATAGATTTCAGAAGGAATAAACAATAAAAGACTCCTACGTTGTATTCAGACATCTCTTAAATTGATGTGAGCCAGTGCATTATTTAAACGATCATAACGATACGTCAAAGCTATTTTCGAGCCGATCAATAACTTCAATTAGTGAAAGATATATTTGAATATACGATGACGAATGACATTTTATAATATTCTGTTGTAACGTTATAGTATATGAATGATAATAGGACGACGTACTAAGTAATCCTAGTTCAACAGACAATTAACCCCGCTCAATTCGAACTGCTTTTAAAAGGATTTTTTAATAGTAAAGAAGCTTCAGAAACATAGATGATGTATACCAATTTTATTAACGATAAGTAGAAGTCTATGGTAGGAGATGCTTCCGCTATCAATGATACTGAACTCCTTCCATTTCGCTTCCGATTATTACAAATGTCTTTTATCATGTTTGTCTTGTTTTCCCTCAATTTATGATGCTTAAACAGAAACTGAAAGTCGTTTATACCAAATTCATATTAAGAAATAGCATGTGTCTTATTTTTATCTATTTGTTACATTATAGGATCTAAGAATTCACCATTAAGTCTATTTCCTACCAACAGAAGCAATTGACAGTTGAATGCGCACGTGGAACACAAACAGGTACATGTTTGTTTAGTAACATCAACAAGAAAATAAAATATGTCCCTTTTCATTTTCTTATATTAATTTTCTCTTGGTGGATTGGTGGATTATTATTTTTTTAATTTGGAAAATCTATAATTATCTAGTAAATGAGATATTATTATTAGTAATATTGATTTGATACAACAATGCTGAAGTATTGAAATGGTTTTATAGATCGGTGATATTTTCACGTTTCCATACGGATTTCTAGCTGTCAGTCGGCCTTATGTTCATTCTATTATGGAAAAGGCGGATCGTTTCATTACAATTCTTTTTGCAAAAAGAATGTAATATATCTTAAAAGTTTCAATCATTAGGGAGCTACCATTTGATTTTTAGGGGGGGGGGGGGGGGGGGGGGGGGGGGGGGGGGGGCTAGGATGAAATTTGAAAATAGGCAGCACAGGAGTTTTGAGTAAAGAAAAAAGGCAGGATGAGCAACTTGGCAAAAAAAAAGGCAGGATGACAAATTATGTAAAAAAAGTAAGGATCAACTAATAAAAAAAAAAAAAGCAGGGCCGAATAAAGTGAAAAATAAAAAGGCAGGACCGAGATTACAACTACATAAAATTCAAATGGTAGCTCCCTTAGTCCTTTCATTCCTTCATTCTATCTCATTTCTTCACTGCTCTCTGGTTTAATTTCACTGCTCTCTGGTTTAATTTCACTGCATGGTACGTGGATAGGAGCAAATATTTTGCAACAGGTCTCCTACAAACCTTTCAGAGAGGGCAAGGGTTCTTAACGTACGACACATAAATGAAGCATCGAATTTAACACCGTTCAGACCGCTGTGTACTTATACATCCCGCACAGCAAACGTTAACAGAATTCCAACTTTAGCATGCACATGTTTTTATCGACATGATTGTTGCAAGAAGTAAACAATCTCAATTCAAATAGTTATCAAAGGTACCAGGCTTATAATTTAATACGCCAGACGCACGTTTCGTCTACGTAAGACTCATCAGTGACGCTCAGATCAAAATAGTTAGAAAGCCAAACAAGTACAAAGTTGAAGAGCATTGAACGAGTAATAGAATGGTAACACTGTTTTTTAGATTCATTTGTTTATTCAATTACTACATATTTGATCGAAGTTTGCATTTCTTATCGTACAAATGCATAGATTACGATGGTTATAAACAACTACATTGGAAATATAGTGACATTTAACAGGACTGAAATAAACATTTATCAGAGGAAAAGTCACAACTACAGACAACGAAGATCAGATAAGCTCATAAACATAGCTATTATCTCAACATTTTGTCATCTCAGCTGTCATTTCAGTTCCATTGTCAAGAACCATTGTCTGAAAAAGAAAAAAAAAGAATTATTATCTAAGTATTTATCTATTGTTAGTAATATCACGAAAAAACACAATTTAGCTTAATATATCAACACACAACTGTTAGAAAATTATAATGTTGGTACATGCATATTTTTTCTACATAAACTATTATTATAAAAATGTTATAGGTCGTGACAATAGACTGAATGCCTTTGAACAATGTTTGGCCACTGAATTTTTCTTGTTTTTATATAAATATTACACCTTTCACAGGAGCGTGTGAGATATCAACTTACCTTCGGCTGTTTTCTGCTCTTTAGTCGGGTTGTTGTCTCTTTGACACATTCCTCATTTCCTTTCTCAATTTTATTAATAGCTCAACCCCTCTAATGGTCATTATTTTATACTGTTGTTGGGTTGCTTTCTAATTGACGTTTACGCCAGTGCCCACATTCATTTTTTTTACATTATATCATTTATTAAAAGTATAATATAAGATACTGTACATTGATTAAAAAGCTCAGTGGAAAAGTTATAATTATAGTAAAAAATGTGTATTATTATTATTGCGGAAGTTTACAGATTCGTGCATTACTACTGAAATGATATCACATGATATAACTGAGCAATATGAAAATAAGAAGATGTGGTATGATTGCCAATGAGACAACTCTCCACCAGAGATAAAATGAAGTAGAAGGTTAGCAAATATAGGTCACCGTACGGACTTCAACAATCAGCAAAACCCACACCGCATAGCAAGCGACAAAAGGCCCGAAATTACAAAATTAACGTAAAACAATTCAAACGAGAAAACTAGCGGCCTAATTTACGTACAAATCAATAAACAAAAACAAAAAATGGTATAGCAACACACGACTCCACTGAATTACAGGCTCCTGACTTGGGACAGGCACATACAGAACATGGTGAGGGTGTTAAACATGTTTTCGGGCGCCCAACCTGGGACAGTGGTACAACAACACCAGAATAAACTTCAAAATAATAAACGAAAATAAAGTATGAAAACCAGTAACGTTACAAACGACAACTACTCAATTACAGGCTCCTGATTTGGGACAAGCACATATATGATATGGCCAGGTTAAACATGTTATGGGTGCACCAACCCACCTCCTACTCTGAGATAGTGGTTTAACAGTACAACATAAGAACAAACTATATTAATCAGTTAAAAATGGCCTAACTGATCAGATCGATACAAAGGACAAAAACAACTAACAAAAACACAACAGACACATAGTACAGATCTGATAGTACTCACAGTTACTGAAGGATAGTTCAAAAACAACTAATAAACAATCATGTATCTTAGTATAACATATCAGTACATTTAGTGTAAAGACGTCATTAACCGTCAAAGAAAAACATGACCTTGTGCAATGCCAAAACATGGGTATCTCTTTAAAAGATTAACATTCCATGTTATTCGACCCTCCAAGTTGCTGTTGATTTTAAAAAAAATCAAACTTGACATGTTTTGTCCTTTTCCGTTACAGAGTGCGTTACGATATACCAAGTCCTAAATTAATCATTTGCTTCTTAAAGAAAATACATGTGCTGTACTTTCGATATAATTTTTTTTAAAGTTGGAATGCGTTTGATTTTGATAAGTAAGCTTCTAATCCTATAAAAGCTATCAAAAACGGAGTTTTAACAAATATCAGCACAGTAACTTCACTTTTGAGCCATTAAAACATGTATGTGATCTCGGGTTTCTGTTCAATTGACGTATGGCGTACATTTTATTTCATTCATCTGATTTTATAGATGACGTAACAAAATAATGGTTTCGGTACCTCAAAGAATAAATTTATACTTAAGATATTGTAAATTTAGCTAAGATTCCCTTATTTCTTTTTAGATTATCTTGCTGTCAAATAAAATCATGTATATACATCGAAGATTTTCCTGTCTTTGTTTTATAGTAAAACGTGCAATATTTTAAAGTCAAGTTCGAACATATGCCTCATTTGTGTGCTCATAGATACTATGACGACAGTGGCGACCCACCGTCTTTGATTTGAAATGTTAATAAAAAAAAACTTATTTACGCAGTTCAGTAGAAAGTCCACAATTGATATCTATAAAGCTATGTTTTACATAACTCATGTTTTTTAGGATGTAGAAAAAGTACTATGAATTCCATTTTATAATTCAACGAAGTGATTCTCATAGTTACTTATGCATTGATGCTGAAAGGGAGCAAGATATCCATACCTTATTTAAAAAAGAAGTAAAAAAGTTTTTTTAAGTCATCTGTTTTCCGAATATTATATTCAAACACTTTGTTTCTTCAGTGACTTACATTTACTAGAACACACCCGCGAAATCGCTGGCATTAAGAGCGTGGTTGAAAGTAAGTAAACTGTTGTAGGATGATTTTTTGTAAAAGATTTTATGACTGGAGAATTTCAGGAAAGGTATCAAAATTATCTTAAACATGAACTGATGTCAATATAACATTTTGAATTTTTCACCAGTTCAAAATATTGGATGTAAATCTAAAGAATGTCAACGCAAAGGTCAACTATTTGTAGTAACATGAACGCACAATTTTTAGGGGGCGAGTTGCCTTGTAACCATGCTTTTTGTTTCGTTGTGCAGAAGACAGAATAAGCGATATGTGAACCTTTTCAATTTCATTCACTCGAAACGGATTCCACTAATGAAATCAGATTATTATGTGATATTTACAAATACGATTGGAATTTTGAATAGAGCAATAATAAGATACTCAATAAACAATGCGATTTGTGCACAAAACTTTCATATTTTTACTGAAATCTGGAAATGGCGTCAGACTTAATAAGGTGTTGACTTTTAATAAAGCAAATTAATTATAATATGGGGAGCTTATTACGTCATATGAATAGAGCCATAATAAAATACTCAATAAACCACAACCACTGTAAATCGACGACGTCACAATGCGATTTGTGCAAAAAAACGCCATATTTTACTGAAATGGCGTCAGAGTTTTCAGTGGGAAACTTTATGCTCGGGATAAAATTCCAATATAACGACCCAGGCCATGTGAAAATTTTCAACAAACCTATGGCTTGCATGAATTATTTCTTAAACATGATTATATACCGGTTCCAGGGGTCCCATGAAATCGGATTTTTATCGCTTCCAAGGACCGAAGGAATGTTTGATACCGGTTCTTTTAGCTCAGGTACCCAAAACATTGTATTTAATCAAGATAGGAATTAAGGGTTGTTTGTAAATTTACCAAAATTCTGTGTAATTTTAAATAGTCCTAAAAGGAAGTCTTGTCTTTGATTAATAGTCCGTCCGATGACGGAAATAATATCCGATTGCCTTTATTTTGGTTTTCCTCCCAAAATAACCCAAACGGAATGATCATAAGCGAAGATGACAAATGCGACTATGCATGGTACCTATAGGACACAGAGGCATGATGGTTAATTTATTGTGGAAGGAAGTGGGGTCTTCTCATTTAATAGTATAGATACTGCTTTGTTTTACATTGTTTTATCGTATGGCATTATTTTCTCAAATATGTAATACTGGAATATACTTACAGTCATCATTTTATCTCCCTTTATTTCCCTCACAACTGTGACTGTTTTCCATCCCATCAGTTCACTTTGTTCTTTCATTGTCATTTTACTGTCAGAATCAATGGTTACTGTAAACTAATAGAAAAGATAAAATTTATAAATAAGAAGAACATTTGTCAATCTTAAATGCGCATTTGATGCAAACAAACTTGAATATATCAAAATAGTCATTGTCGTAATATTTTTTTTTTGTTCACACAACAGTCATGGTCGATTACATTTTTTGTTTATATATACAACAGTCAAGGTTAAATATGTTGTTTGTTTAATTTATTAAAATTAGTTGTGTTCTGCTTGAGTAAGGTTAAATCTGATCAACTTGACAACTTTTACAATAAAACAGTTTTTGATCTATTCTAGAAATGTATTAAGTAAATTTAGATTTATTGCAATAGCAAATCCATTGTCTCATTCTATCGTCTCGTTTTTGAATCATTAATGTATGTTTTGTTACTGCCCCTGATTGAAAAAAAATATACAATATTCGTACATTGCATTAAAAATTTAAGAATGTATTTGAACGAGCGTTAGAAAAAGAAGAATAGGGAAACTAGTCGAGATTTTCTCCTGTTTCCGCAGAGATTAGACATATTTTTTCAAATTCTCCTACAATGTATGCAACTTGCTTAATCCTGCATTTCGAAACTTACATTTGCATTTTTTTACCTTCCAATCGTTGAATTTGATTGTTCATCAAATCGACATGATTTAAACGCGGACATCGAAGAGGAACCGAAAGTAAACTGTGTTATTAATATTAATTTAAATAATTATAATTGTTCACTGATAACGTATATCACTTTGGTTTATTTGTACACCTGCATTTGTAGAGTGAAATGGTCGATTACAGGATACTATTTCATTTTTGTAAACACAACAGTCATTGTCGTATACATGGACATTGTTTGTTGTAAACACAACAGTCATTGTCGTATACATGGACGTTGTTTTTTGTAATCAGAACAGTCATTGTATACATGGGCATTGTTTGTTGTAAACACAACAGTCATTGTATACATGGACTTTGTTTGATGAACAAACAATAGTCATTGTCGGATATATGGACGTTGTTTGTTGTACACACAACAGGCTTCGTATACATATAGACAATGTTTGGTGTACACACAACAGTCATTGTCGTATACATGAACATTTTTTGTTGTACACGCAACAGTCATTGACGTATACATGGACATTGTTGTACACACAACTGTCGTTGTCGAATACATTGGCGTTTTATGTTGTACTCACAACAATCATTGTCGTATACATTGACATTTTTTGTTGAACACACAATAGATAACGTCGAAAGTATAGTTCATTTGTTCTATATTTTAAAAACAAAAGCCTAGCTAAAAAGAAAGCCAATTTCAGTGTTATAATGCCGAATCAAAATTTTAACAAAGCGAAATACACGAACAGCACAATTATTAAAATTCCCATAATATTGAGTAATCTATTCAAGCGGCAAAGCACTAGATCGACTATATTTGTATAGCTATATGTGTATCTTTATACCTTTAGGCCTTTTCCCATAGGACCGGTCGTGACAACTTCCTCTGAAGGTTTAAATTTATAACATTTGCTTGGTATAACATCACTACTTGTATCGCAAATCCAATATTCTCCATCTCGCTTGAATTCAACAGTATTCTTTGCATTTCTAAACTTTTCGATCAGTTCATCAGGAATACCTAAAATTGTATTAAACACACATTAAGACTAATATAATTCTTTAAACAGACTTGAATGGCATATGTTTATTTTATATCAATTAAACAACCAATCGTTTGGGATGTTCTAATTATTAAAAAAAAAAAAACTTTTGAGACAGTTGTAAAAATCCCTAATTATAGAAATATTAATGGGTGTAATCTTAAAGGAAGACGAAAGCATTTAGGAAATCAACACAACTTGTTTTAAACCAGGCATTGAATTTCTCTTTTAAGAACTAATACATTTCTTAAAATGATTTTATCAAATGAAAAAAGGTACATTAAAACGCATAAGTTGAAAATAAACTGGCATCACCATGGCCAAAAACGAATAAGACCAAAAGACAAACAACAGTACAAAAAAAACAACATAGAAAACTAAAGACTGAGCAACACGAAACCCACTAAAATCTTGGGCGATCTCAGGTGCTCCGGGAGGGTAAGCAGTTCTAGGTCAACATGTGGCACCCGTCGTGTTGCTTGTGTAAGTACAAACCCGGTTATAAGTCTATTACGGTAGGTCACATTCGGGGGAAAAAAGACGGGATTGTGGTTACAAAAATTGGAATATATCCGTCATTATCTGCGAAACAGATATTCCATAACGGTCAACCAACTCTTGATGGCGTCCTTTAAATTTATGAAGGGATGATTTCAACTTCACCACTTGGAACTCTTGGTTTGATAGCTTCCTTGTGAGCAGCAACCCTCTATCATGGAAATCTTGATAGGAAATGCAAGCCCTAGAATATCGTATCAAAAGAGATATATACACCGTATGCGTTTGCTGTTTGAATGATGCCATATAAAAATGGAAAGTTCACAATAGGGAAGCTGAAATTGTCTCATTTGTCGTAAAGTTTTGTTTTTAACCGACCTTAATCATGTTCATTGTCAATTCCTAGATGTATGTCAAGATATGAGGCAGAAAATGTTCTTTCAAATCCTTCGAATGATTTATAAAGCTCGAATCATTGTATAGAAAGACAAGTTTCCCGTAATTCTACGGGTACACATTCCAATGTGATTTACAATAAATAGATTTTTGATATTAAAACTTAATTGTTTTCATAATTTTTACATATACCTTGAAGTGATTATTTTTCGGAAAATATGTAACACAATTATATACTGGATATGATCGATATTACTTAAATGTTACATCCATGTTGATACATCAAACAGAAAAAAGACCTGACTATAGGCAAATACAGAGTGCTACTGCAACGAAGCAAACAATTACAAATAGACTTTCATTGATTGACATTTGTATACAAATATAAGACAACGTGTTGTTGTTTTAATATAGTTTCAGTCAAATTGTGATTTGTACCAAATTTGCAACGCTTGTTAAGCAGTTTTTGATATTTGTTAGATTATGTTATGAATGATATGCTATATTTATTTTTATTTTTGAATGTGCATTGAAAATTCAAATTATTTATTTTTCTGTTAATGTTATAAAAGTAACTTGCCCGATTCCTTAGCGAACTGGTCATAATTTGTGTATGTGCTACAGTCATCTTTCCATTTCCCAATGAATTGAGCCATCTTTAAATTTAAAAAAATAAACGTGTTATTAAATCAAACTCCAAAAATCGAATGTATCTCTGTTCAAATAAAGTTCAAGCTTTTCTCTAATACAACGCTTACAGTTTAAACAAATAATGTAACCAAACAATGAAACATCGTCCAAATTATTGACAAAATTTTAACAAAGCTCTAATTTTTCACATTTTAGTATGATCAATAGTTTTGTGTTTTTCATGTTGAACTTTTCTGACTAATCGGAAAAAAGAGCAGATGTCTACAAAATTGAATCATCGTCACGTTTATTGACACGAGCTTGTATTGAGCATTTGAAAGATTTAGTTTGCAATTGACCATATTTGATTTTTTACTTCTTCTATGTTTAGTCTTTCAACTGGCATGTGGTGTTATATATCTGACTAATAACACAGCTAAAGAAGTTGACAAATATGTCAATAATTCCCAATTATTTTTTTACGATCAACCTAAAAGTTCATGTTGAAAAATTTATAATACAACAGGGTGAAAAATATAAATTTAAAAAAGTAAGCTTAAACATGTGTGTCTTTTTAATATGTAAAAATAATTTTAACACGACCTTCAAAACAGTTCATTTTAAGACTTTGGCTGTGTTTTTCAGAGAGAACATTTTTACAGTTGAAATGTTTGTCTCAAAGTTACCCAAGATGTACGTGTGTAGTGTTCACTAAAGTATTTATCATTTAATTGATAAACGGTTTTCTCATTCTCTCTTCTTTTACTTTCTGAAAATGAATGAATATCGATAATTTTAATGGGTACGTATTTCTTTGTTTCTCCTTTTCAATGAACGTTGTTCAAATATTAGTATTTTATCATCCATATGTTACTCGTATGTATAACAATAGATTAATTTACTTGAAACTTTACTGAAAAAAACTAGTCTGTTTTTAAATACATTAATGTAATTTATCAACGTTACTATTAAATCGGAAAGAAGGAAAACGTTGGTGTTTTTTTACCTCAACATAGCAACTTTAACAAATATTTTCCTTATGTTTTTTTCTGTACGAAAAATAATAAGCAGACGTGGTAATTGCCAATGATTATTTAACTGTTCATTATACACTTTAATATGTCAAAGATACGAACAATTACAGTTGTATGTCTGTTTGAATATCAAATTCAATGTTATCTCGTTTGCGATATGCTTCGTTATTGTCATGATTCAAATTATAGGGGGACAATAATAACTCATAAAACTCATAAGTCGAAGAAAAACAAACACAGTCGTGGCCAAAAAGGAAATGACGAAAAAATAAAAAGCTGTCTGCAATATTACACAGAAAATTTAAAACTTAGCAACACGAACCTTAAAAAAATCCGGGAGTGGTTTCATGTGTCTAGGAGGGATAAGCATGTCTCATTACAATTACAGATTCGGTGATAAGTCTCATTCATAGTCATACTCGAGACAAAAACAGGATTGAGGATACGATAATTGAAACATGTCCGTAGTTATATGTTACACTGATATTCCATTAGGGTCAAGCTAATAATTATGACGTCTGTTAAATTTTCGAAGGAATTACTTCAGGTTTACCTATGAAACCCTTGCTTTAATAGCTTCCTAGTAGTAGCAACCCTATATCATGGAAATTATGAAAGCTAAAGCAAGATCTAGAATTTCGTATTAAATGGAAGATACATATTCGATATGCAGGTGGTTTAGTAGTGTTGCTATAAAGAAGTTGGAAATTTAAAATCGGAAAGCTGAAATCGTTTCTTTTTTCGTAAGGTTAAGTTTTCAAAGGCAGCCAACGTTGCAATTCCATAAGGCAATGTTTTCTTTAGACTTAGATTTTGGCTGTTCTATTTGATTCTAAAACTCTCGAATGTTTTAAAAAAAAATAATTATGCTTTACAAACTTTTCTGGTGCATACCTGATTAAGGTTATTCCCAAAACACATGTAATGTACGCCTGGTAACCATATAAAACGTGTTTTAAACAGGTCAATGGGAATTCTCATTTATTTCACATTGCCAATCATTGAATTAGAAATATCAATTCGAATAAAATCTTTCTGTGAGGGTGGTAATTAATAAATCATGATTACTATAGTTTTTATTTTGCATTTAAGTAGGAAATAAGCATCATATGAAGTTCCTTCCTCACGCAATTGTTTCTAAAATAACTTTTCATCAGGTATGCACGAGATTATAATTATTGAGAGCTAACAATATAAAACTTTTGACAGCATAAAAACTATAACAAAGTGAACAAACTTACTTATAATATGTTGCCATATACAAGATCATGCTTTTTTCAGATTGTTTATGAAATATTTAATCTAAATCCGGTGGATGTATACTGGTTGACTTTTTTGTCTGGGAAAACATAGTTTATTTATTAGTTTAAAAAGAGGCGAGAATTACCAGGGGGACATTCAAAACTCAGGTCGAAGAGAAACTGACAACGCAATGGCAAAATACGAAAAAAGACAAAAAGACAAACAAAACCCCAAAACACTAAATAAAAAACTAAAAGCTAATAACAACCCCACCAAAAACCGAGGGGGCCTTAAGCCTAAATTGTGTTTGAACTAGCTTTTAGTTACAATGAATACTGTACGATCGTTACCTTTGGTTTTATTTTGTCTTTTTGCTAGGTTTTATATGATTTGTGCACAATGGATAGGTCAAGCGCTATAAAACTGATTTGTTTTCAGTTGTTTTAATGTTGTGCCTTTTTATCTTTCTGTCATATTTGTTTTCGTTGAATGGTTTTTAGTATAAACAAGGCCTTTGCAATTCATATTCTCGTATAAATTGGTTCACATTTTATCACGCCGGGCATTTTATAGCTTATCATACGGCATGTGATTTGTTCATGGCTGAATGTCTTATGATGACTTATAGTTGTTTACATCCTCATCCTTTGATTTTTAGTGGATATTTTTATTTGCAATCATACCACATTTCCTTACATATATATAAATAAATAATTTATCCTTGTTCAGCGAAATGGACGCCACGCTAAACAGACATGTTTTTCATTTAAAATTGCGATTAGTCGAACAAAATGAGGTAAGAATGTTAATCTTTTGAATTTTCTTGTTCACCAGATTCAATTTTCTACAAGAAATCAGTTAACCTTGGTATGTAGGGTAAAAAGGTCAAGATGACAAAATAAAAGGATCGCCGTAAATACTAATATACTATGCAAGCAGTACAACTAATTTTGTATATGCAAAAATAAGAAGATGTGGTATGATTGCCAATGAGACGACTCTCCACAAGACACCAAATGACACAGAAATAAACAACTATAGGTCATCGTACGGCCTTTAACAATGAGCAAAACCCATACCGCATATTCAGCTATAAAAGGCTCAGAAATGACAAATGTAAAATAATTCAAACGAGAAAACTAACGGTCTAATTTATGAACAAAATAATGAACGCAAAACAAATATGATACACAGAAACAAACGACAACTACTAAATTACAGGCTCCTGACTTGGGACAGGCACATACAGAATATGGCGGGGTTAAACATGTTAGCGGGCGCCCAACCCTCCACCTAACTTGGGACAGTGGTGTAACAGTACAACAAAAGAACTAACCATCAGTCGAAAAAGGCTTCACTCATCAGATGGATACAAATAGAAATACATCTAACAAAAACACAGAGTGGACATGGACGGGTACTTATACATTCTATATAAGGGTACTTATATATTCCATTGTGGTGTACTTGTGTACTGTCGTAAATTAATGGGAGGTGTCCTTTGTTATTCTGTGGTTTACATGTTGTTATATACTATTACATTATTTATTTATGTATTTCTCTCTCCTGAGTATTCTTGCGTTTATTTGTACTGTATTCCTGTCACGTAATGTTGTCATTTTAGCGGTATTTTTAACATTATTTGCCATATAAGCGGGATGTTTGGCTAGCCATAAACCAGGTTCAACCCACCTGTTTTTTTTAAAATGTCTTGTACCAAGTCAGGAATATGGCAGTTGTTATCAAATAGTCCGTTTCTGTGTATATTGGCGTTTGTTTTTGTAGCAGTTCAGTGTTTCTGTTGTTCTGTTGTTTTTCTCTTATAGTTGACGTGTTTCCCTCGGTTTTAGGTTGTGACCCGGATTTGTTTTCGCTTAATCGATTAATGACTAATCAACAGCAGTATCCTACTGTTGCCTTTATTTACACATCCCGACAACAAAAAGAAAGTGACTTTAAGTACAGATCTGAGAGTACTCGCAGTTACTGACAGCTAGTTCAAAGCCAATAACAACTGATAACATAAATCATACATCTAAGACTAAAATATCAATCAGTACACATATGTATATTTAGAACAGCCAAAACCATTAAAGATAAACAAAAAACAAAACACAAAACACAAAAACAGTAAATCAGGTAATTGTAACAACTTTAGACTAATTAACAAATTATCATTGTCAACAAAATTAAGAAAAAAAAGAAGATACAAGTAAGATAAAAAAAAAATAGAAAATAATAGTAAGATAATCCACCAGCAATGGTACCGACACAGTGGGTATGACAAACGAATAATGTGATTAACCGTAGGCCGATGTATTTCTTGAATATTCAAAATGACGTTCTTTTTTCGATTTGGAAGCAAAGCCATGTTTTGATTCCAATAGAACATTGGCTGAACGTGATTGACGTCAGAATTGCAATTGCAACGTCAGTTGTATTTTCAACAATGCCGGATATGAAAATGGACATTAGTATTGGTGTTGATCGCTTAGATATTAAACAAAATCATTCTAAAAGTAAGCTAACATGTATAAAAAAATTACATAAGCTATTTGAGTTCATTTTTTATTCATTTACTATCTATCTTATTGATGTTTGCATATCATACAGTACAAATGCATAGATTACAATATTGTAAGCGACTATATATTGGTAATATAGAGACATTTAACTAGATTGAAGAACACAGTCATCACAGGAACAGTCACGTCTATAATTATACGAAGATCAGAGATATGCATAGACATTGATGTTATGTCAACATCTTGTCATCTCAGCTGTCATTTCAGTTCCACTGTCAAGAATCATTGTCTGCAAAAAATGAAAATTACATACTTTGTTATGTTTAGTAATTTCACAGAAAAGCAGAACTCTGGCATAATACTCCAACACATATCTAATAGAAATTTGTAATTTTGGTATTTGTACACTTTTTTCTGTATAAATGTTTTTGCAATACTGTTCGAATGCGACACTGGACTAAAAGCCTTCAAACAATTTTTGACTATTACACTTTTACTTTCACTGATACAAATGGGTAAGTATTAATGGGGGTGTGCGAATTAAATCTTAAAAAACTTTCATACCCCGCCACATTTATATATATATATGTTTGTCAAGTTTTTGTCTTCCAATATCTCGCTGTTGTTTATTCTAATTATTCTTTTAATTGTGTGTTGATGGCAGATCTTTAAAATCTCTGTTATATTTTGAAGGGAATTGAAATAGAGCTTGACGTGTTGTATAGACATGTATCTTTATTTTTAAATTGTGTATTGTGCATAGTGAAACATTAAAACATTAATTTATTAAATAATATGCCCTATTGTTGCTGATTAAGTTTACAGATTCGTGAATTTCTACGATAATAATATGTCCCTTAAGATAACTGACAAAGGCGTATAGACAGTTTTTCTCTGTTTTTGTTTAGCTTTTTACCATTGTTGTCGGGTTCTGTTAATACACCCGTCCGGAAAATCTTCCCTAGAAATTTCATAACAGTTCGTAGCGGGAAATGGCTTCATTTATTTTATTACAAAACGAATCGAGCTTTGTATAGAGCCGTTTCGGAGTGACAAAAAAAATGAATTCGATGAAAGTCAACCCTTTGGAATTCCATTGATTTTTCTTCGTTTATCAGATTTTCCTTCCATTTTTTGTTTTGTCATTTACTCACCAAAAGCAATCACATTAAATTCCATTCCAAGAAGCCATCAAATTACCATGGACACAATTTTATTTTACTTGATAGACCTGTTAATTTGGGTTATATTTTTTTTCCCAAATAAACATTTCCCTGTTGAAATATCCAAAGAAACTGGTTTACAAAAGTAAAAGATACGTTTTGACGGATCACCGGACATGGTTGTATCCAATAAAACATAGTTAGCCTACTTGTTTTGTGAACCTCTTGATAATTTTTTATCAAAATATTACGATTTTCATCGAATTGAACTACAAATATCCACTTGGTGCAAATATGTTCGAAACGTATTGAAAACAATACAAATCTATACAGATATGTTTAAATAAACCGTTTTATTTTTTTTATGATGCAGAATAAGTACTCTAGATGCCTATTATATTTCAACAACATGCTTCTCATAGCCACTAATGCCAGAATGTTGCATTGGGAGCAGGCTATCCAAACTTCATGCAAGAAATAATTAAAATCATTTCAAGCGACCTTTTTTCCGGATATTATATTTCAAAACTATATTTTGTGATTTTTCATTTGTATTTTGTTTTATATTGTTTTAGCGAACAGCAATACTATCTCAAATAATTCATGCTGGAATATACTTACAGCCATCATTTTATCTCCCTTTATTTCCCTCACAACTGTAATTGATTTCCATCCCATCAATTCACTCTGTTCTTTCATTGTCATTTTACTGTCAGAATCAATGGTTACTGTAAACTGATAGAAAAAAAATCTGTTTAAATCCATTTGTCAATTTCACATTGTGCATTTAATGCAAATAAGTTTGAATAAACTAAAATACTGGTTCCCTTGACCTGTTTGTTTATATATTGGTCGTATATGCTGTTTGTTTATACACACACACAGTCATAGTCGAACACATTTTTTTATATAATAGCGAAATAAGTTATTTTCTACTGGAGTGAAACAATATTTTAATACATACAAGATATTTAATGATTATAAGTATATTTTAATAGCAAAAACATGTTGTCATTGTATCGTCTTAAATAAATAATTTCGGTGCTGGAACTGCCCCATGAGTGTCCTGATTAGGAAATAAACGTATGTTCTTTTATAAACAACAATCATTGTCGTATTCATGGACATTATTTACTTTCTACACACAACAGTCATGATCGAAATTTTTACTTTTTTTAAAAGCCTAGTTCATTTAGAACAATCTATTTTAGTGTTATACACGTACAGCCGAAAACAGAGCAAAGTACGCAAACAGTATGATTATTTTTTAAATTACCATACAATTGTAAGAGTAATATATACAAGCAGCAAAGAACTTAAAGAGAGGCGAAAGATATCAAAGGGACATTCTAACTCATAAGTCGAAAATAAACGGACAAGGTCATGGCAAAAAAAGAAAATATCAAAACAAACAGCAGTACACAAAAACATAACATAAAAAAAAGACTATGTAACACATACTCCAAAAAAACTGGGGGATGGTTGGGGTCGGGTGGGGTCTCAGGTGCTCCAGATGGGTAAGCAGATCCTGCTCCACATGTGATATCCATCGTGTTACTCCTATGAATTACGTTGATAAGATATATCAAGTGATTAGACATCACGCAATATCGAATTAGTAATTGACCCTTATATATCTAACCCTAAGACATTAACAAATTCTTAGCCTTCGGTCATGTAAAATATTCTAACCCTGAAAATTGACCGAATGTGAAATTTTGAAATTGAAACACATTTTTCATGACACTGTTACCGGTATAAACAACGTTAACACACACATTGAAAAAATAAAAAGCACAAAGAACAACACGTGTAACCATGATAACTAAAGCAAGAACGTCAGGAATCCTTTTAAAACAAAACTAGGGATGATCTCAGGTACTCCAGAAGGGTAAGCAGATCCTGCACTACATGTGACACCCGTCGTTTTGCTTATGTAAGAACAAACCCGGTGATAAGTCTAATTCGGTAGGTCAAATTCGTGGAAAAGAGGATGGAATTGTGGTAACGGACAATTGGAATATATCCGTCGTGATGTGTGAAACGGTTATATTATAACAATCAACTATCTCGTGATTGCGTCCTTAAAATTTACGAATGCATTATTTCAACTTCATCACTTAGAACTCTTGGTTTGAATTATTTTAAATAGACTAAATCTTCTATATTTGTACAGATGGGTGTGTAAATTTTATACCTTAACACCTTTTCCCATTGGACCGGTTGTAACAACCTCCTCTAAAGGCTTAAATTTATAACATTTGCTTGGTGTAACATCGCTCCATGTATCGCAAATCCAATGCTCTCCTTCATGCTTGAATTCAACAGTATTCTTTGCATTTCTAAACTTCTCGATCAGTTCATCAGTAAGACCTAAAATGTTATTTAACACTGATCCGCAAACTCATAAAATGTACATGTATCTAACTTGCATGTCAAATTCTTGTTATTACATAGCAAATAAACTACAAATAGTTTGTTTGTATTGTTTGTTTGTATTGTTTTTTGTTTTGTTTTTTTTTTTTGGGGGGGGGGGGGGGGGGTACTTAATAGGTACAAATTAGTGTTGCGGCAATTGTAAAATTCCCTGTTTAAAGAAACCAAGAAATGTTATTTTAAAAAAGGAAAAGCATAGATTGAGAAAATCAGTAGACCTTATTTTAGAGTAGGCATTGCGTTTCATTTTTTTTTCTTTTAGTAACAGTTGTCTTTCTGAAAGATTTGATTTAAATGAATAAAGACAGATGTTCAGATAAAGACTTGGAATGATTGATACACTTATGTATTGTTGATAACTGTAAATGGGTCCTTTGATTATCTTTTGTTTTCGTATCGTTGACTTGATGTGTCATTCTCGAAAAATCCCAGAGAACATTAAACTTATATTTCTAAAAAGCCACATTTTTCACCATTTTGATATAAATATGACAGGAAAAACACGCATACTTTTTAAAGTGTTTGAACCAAATATTGAATTGTATTTGTCGCTTTCATATAAAGAATATTTGAATTTAACTATATCATTTCCGAGCATCAAATATATTACTTCAATGATATGTTAGATTTATTTTTTGTGACATAAGATGGAATTAAAATATTTAATTTGCTACTAGTTATAACATCCACTAACCTGATTCCTTAGCGAACTTATCATAATTTGTGTATGTGCTACCGTCACCTTTCCATTTCCCAATGAATTGAGCCATCTTAAATTTGAAAAAATAAACGTGCTCTTAAATCAAACTCCAAAAATCGAATATATCTCTGTAAAAATAGTTCAAGTTTTTCTATAAAATAACGCCCACAGTTTAAACAAATAATGTAACCAAACAGTGAATCATCGTCCCAATTATTGACAAAGTTTAAAGTTTAAATTTTTCATAATTTCCTTTTTTTCCCTTTTTTTTTATATTAAAACGGAAGGAGTCGACAAAAATGAATCATCGTCGCATTTATTGACACGACAACAAATCCAGTATTTATGAGTTTTTAATTAGCCAAGTTTTAATATTTCTTCTCCTATGTACAGTTTTTCAACTTTCATCCAGAGATAAATATCTGACTAATAAAACAAATTTGTCTTATAATCAAAAGCTTGAAGAAGACAACCGAAGATGTTGTGTAGAGCCATTTGTTATTCGGCAGGGGAAAACACTGCAATAACCATGTTTGTTTAAAAAATCGTAAGCTTACATAGCTGTGTCTTTTAAATATGTAAAGATTTTTTAAACAGTTCTTAAAATAGTACATTCTCAGACTTTGATTGTGCTTCACATACCAATTTACATATTTTTAGTTATATCAACATTGTTGTGTTTTTGTTTTATGAACTTTTCTGTTATGATAATTTCTGACTAAACAGATAACGACATATGTCGACAAGACTGTTTATTGACAAGACATTGTATCGATTATTTTTCGGACTATTATTATCAAGGCCCCCCAACACGTTTTTTCTCTCAAGGTTACTCAAGATACACACGTATCTATCATTTAACGTATAAAAGGTTCTGTCATTTTGCTCTATTTTACTATGAAAACTGAATTAGTATCCATGGTTTTAATGGGGATTAATGAGTTTGGTTTTCCTTTTAAGCTAATTACATTGATCAAATATTAGTAAGTTACTCTCACGACTCAGTTATATATATCAAGCCTTGCTATTAATTATTTATGTAATAATAGATTGAATGCACTTGATAATAAACTAACGTGTCTAACATTACAGCTATTTATCAACGTTAAGATAAAATCAGTACGTAGCATTATTTTCAAATATTTCACTAAACATGTGTTCCGGTCTATATTTTAACTTCATTGCAAAAAGTAAAACCCTGACGGGTTAAAAATGCAAACATAACAGACATGTACACAAGACAAATCAAGTTAATATTAATGATATATATATAAGTTTAAAGATAATTGACCAATACGAAGGATTGGTACAGTTGCCAATGGACAATTATCTATTAAGATCAAACGAGGTCAAAAATTGTGAACAATATGTCTATTTAATGATATCAAATACAACAGATGTTTTCTTGTTTGCGATATGCTTCGATATACAATGTAAACATGATTCAAATGATAAAGGATAATCAAAAATCGTACGTCGATGAAAAACTGACAAAACTGTTGTTACAAAGAAAAATGAGGATAATTTTATCAGCAGTCTACAAAACATTTCAATGAAAACTAAAGCCTGAGCAACAATAGACCCACCAAATTTTTAAAAGGATGACTTCAGCTTTACCAAAAGGAACCAATTGGTTCAATGGCTTCCTTGTAAGAAGGAACCCTCTATCATGGAAATCATGTTATAAAAAAACAAGCTCTAGAATATCTTATCAACTGGGAGATATTTACTTCATGTACATTCGCTGTAGTAATGTTGATACAAAGAAATTGAAGGTTCACAATAAGAAAGATTAAATCATATCTTTTGTCGTAAAGTTTAGTTCCCAACCTCAGAAAATTTTGGCTTCTTGTTCGCCTTTTTGGTTTGTTAAGCTTTACGCTGTTTCATACATGGCTTTCTAAACTTTTAGTTTTTAGCGTACCTCGTGAATGTTACTTCTAAAACACGTGTTATGTTCGCACGGTAATTACATTGCACGTTTTTAAACAAGCTCTTAATGTAAAGTTTCTTTTTATTTTACATAGCTAACCATTCAATTAAAAACATAACTTTTAGAATAAAATATTTCTTTGAAGGTTAACGTTAATTTTTAAGTGGATGCTTTCCCCGAAATTATTTAATTAAGATTATCCCGTTTTCTCTTTGCAATTGAAGTAGGAGATTAACATCGAAAACAATATAATAGCTATGAATTTTTGAAGCAAACAAGTATTTCGTGAATATTAATCTTTATTGGGCGTGCTCTGTATCCATTATCCTCGATTCATGAATTCTCATTTTAAACAATTGTTGATCAAATCAATCAATAATATCATGAACAAAACCGGTGCGATAAAACGGATCTAAAATTTTTTCCGACTTTTACAATCTAATCTAAAATCCATAGTCTTGTTTCATTCATGCAATTAAGACGTTTTGAATTTTAGTCCGCTTTACATTTCAAATTGTTAGAAATGTTTGACTGCATGTTGTATCATGTGCATTGAAGCATTTTCCATATGAGGGGCTTGATGGGGTGGGGGGTCTCATCACGATTCACGAGTTGATTTTTTTGTCAATCACGATTCACAGAAAATAAATTTCCATGATCACGGATCACGAAAATATAAAAAAAAAATCTGCAGAAAAACGGATCACGATAGCGAAAATGCGCCGATCACGAAGAACAAAAATAACCCTTTAGGCCCCTCCCATATGGCAATCTCTGGGGACATCTGCATATTCATTCTACATTGTATTCGTCGAGCCAATCAATCTACACTAAAATCGTAATGTTAATATTAAGAGGTTTTAATCTGAATGAATAAAGATATTTATTTAATAACATAAGGATACGTCTAGACTATCTTGATTTCGAGAGTTTCCCACTTGAAGGTCTTTTTAAAATACTAGAAATACTAGTCTTGACAAAATCGTTTATCGGATGAATTTTTACTGATCAGTATTTATGGCAATGAGATTAGGAAATAATCACTTATTTTATATTTGATTTGTAAGATATCATTTACTCTTCTAGTTAAGTCGTTTGTTTATGTTATAAATTTGTTTACTTTCGTTGTTATTTTGAGGTCAATAGTGCAAGAGAATAACCTTATAAGGGAAAAATTAAAATTTTCCATTCAAAAACTTAATTTTGGAAATTTTTATTGAATTGACCTGATGAACTGAGTACAGCTTAATATATTTTTAGACCTGGCTATGTGTAAACGATAGCAAAATATGTTGTCTCGTGTAAGGCAAATGCTAATATAAAATGAAAATTTTAGTTTTTTGCGAGTACATATTTTGTTTAAAACGCATCTATATTCATCTTTAATTGGTTTCAATGCACGGAGAATCCAATAAAATATAATTCAGCAGCTTCTGCAGTCAATGAACCATATTTGAAAATTACAACTAGTACAGGGAAGATTGAACAAAACAAGATAAATGAGATTTACTATAAAAATTCTTGCCATAGTTTTTTTTAAGTTTTTATTTTCTTGTAGGTTATGGGGGCTGAAGCATAATTGCTTCAATGCATATGAAATTCAAAAATTATCTTTATGTGTAAAAGACGAAATGATTCCCTAATCTATCATATTTTGTTTCTCTTCAACATTTCTATTAGATTTTGGTTTCATAATATTTTGGCCTTGAGCATCACTGATGATACATTGATAGATAATTAATGCGCATCTGGTGCAGTAAAATTGGTACCTTTAATCTGAATATCAAAATAATGTTCAAAAATCAATGTATGCAAAATGGAAGTAGGCATGTCTTTTACGGACGAAAAGCAGTTTGGAGAATGATACTAAATCCTTCTTATCTTCCAAAGATTTCCCAGTAAACCTGTTGTAGATAACACCAGAAATAAAATTTACAGTTTTTCTCCATTCCAATGATCTTCCAAAATATGTTTATATATTTCAAAAGAAAGAAAGGAGGAAACTGATGTAGACTTCCTGAATTATCCATTGTTAAACTTGTTCCCTATCTGTTCTGTGAAAGGCAAATCAAAATGACATTTCGATTGCACATGTATACTTTAATAACACAGTCTAGTTACAAAGCATTACTTTATCTATATTTAAGTATATAAAAACTCATTTTAGGATTAGTTTCATAAGTGTAATAACTGTTTAATATCATAGACTTATAATAATATCTTATCGAAATATTGTGAAAAAAAGCGACATTTACAGAAACAAATTTGAAGGATGAAAAAATGATAATTAGAACAAATCAAAAGGTCTTTCTACGGAAGGTGGAAAGATATTATTATCACTATCTCCTCATATAGATTATTAAATACATTTGTAAGCGTAACCAATGCATAATGCAAACTTTCAAGCAGCTGGAAAAATGTAAATAAATCAAATGTTCCTATCTCCTGGTTTCTCTGTCTTATTACACCTACCTTACATCTTTTCTACCCACTTAATTACTTTACCAGAGTTTAAACAACATTATTATCGGTCCAAGAATAAAAATCAAGATGCGTTGATACTCATTTGTAGAAATTAGATACATAGAATCATGATGCAATGGTAGGTAAATAATTTTTTTTTCAAGCATGGTGCAGGAAGTTTAATAATCCAATCAACCGATTGAATTAGTTACAGAACAAAGAAATATAATAAATGAGCAACAAACCCTCCCCCCCAACCCCCCAAAAAGTTTATTTGATATTTTCAGAAGCATGCGACAAAAAAAAAATCAAAAATTATATTTATCGATTACTTCCTTTAAAAGATTCTACCAAACAACGCTTGATAGATATATGATACCAAACAAAGCTTGATAGATATTTGATACCAAAATACACTTGATAGATATTTGATACCAAACAACGCTTGGTAGATATTTGATACCAAACAACACTTGATAGATATTTGATACCAAACAAAGCTTGGTAGATATTTGATACCAAACAAAGTTTGGTAGATAGTTGATACCAAAATACACTTGATAGATATTTGATACCAAACAACGCTTGGTAGATATTTGATACCAAACAACACTTGATAGATATTTGATACCAAAAAACACTTGATAGATATTTGATACCAAACAAAGCTTGGTAGATATTTGATACCAAACAACACTTGATAGATATTTGATACCAAACAATACTTTGTAGATAGTTGATACCAAACAACACTTGATAGGTA